ATCTTGGGCGCTGCCTTTGCTGTTTCTATCACAAGTGTCGATAGTTGGTCCTCAGGCTATGAAGCCTATAGCGTCGGCGGTCTCCTCCACAGCATCCTCTCCCCTGCAAAGGGATTCGGCTCCTTCCTCACCGTCCTTCTTTCACTCAGCGTCTCAGCCAACGTCGCGCCAACCCTCTACTCATTCTCGCTCAACTTCCAAGTCATCTTCCCGCCCCTGCATTACCTTCCCCGACCACTTTTCTCCCTCCTCGCATCGGCGATCCTCATCCCGCTGTCCATCGTGGGCAAGACGAGGTTCTACTTGAACCTGGTGAACTTCTTGGGTATCATTGGATATTGGGTCGGGTGTTTCGGAGCGACGGTGCTGATGGAACATCTGGTATTGAGAAAGGGGAACTGGGATAGCTACGATGTAGCGAAGTGGGATAAGCCGAAGCAGTTACCGATCGGCTTGGCTGCCCTTTTGGCTTCCCTTGGGTCTTTCGGCCTTATTTGGGCTGTGAGTTTTTCTAATTTTCTTTGCTGAGGATTGAACTATGTCTCATCCGCCTTTCTTCGAACATAGGTTATGGACCAAGTGTGGTGGGTCGGACCGATCGCCAAAACGACTGGGGACATTGGGTTCGAGGTGAGACCCAGAGACGTTATCGCGAATTTAAACCCTTTCGATTGATTTGGTCTCGGGACTGCCCAGGTTGCCTTCGTGCTCACCGCGCTGCTGTATCCTCCTTTGAGGCTCTTCGAGCTCAGACTATTCTCTCGTTAAGGGTCTCGAAATTCTTCTTTCCGTCTATGTAGTTCTTTGCGTAATTTCTGTTAATAGTGAATATCTGGGATCTATCGGAATGGCTATCAATTTGGTTTTCTTTCCCTTTTTTGCGCGCATATCCGGAGTGTTACTCATTTTGAGGTGGAACGTAGACGCATTCAGCGGTTAGATCAGAACCCAAGGAAGTACCAAAGCGTAATTACTATGATAGTTGGTCCCAACTCACTTCGCTGAGCCCGCTTGGAGCTTCGAAAGCCGCCTTCGGGTAGCTGGTGTCGATATTGGAAAGTAAGCCCTGATAGAATTAATGTGCATGTTCGCTGTAGTTCCTGCTAGTATATCGGTTAGTACACTTGCCTGTCATCACCAACGGCGCGCGAGAAAGCGAGGTTCGACTCCTCGGCAGGGAGCTTTAATTTTTATGGGACCGACCGATTTTGCCAGAGTGTTTGGGGGTCCAAAACCAGTATTTATGCATGGGTCCTAAATGTGTCGAACAAAACTATATTTGTCAAAAAGTACGGACGGAGTAAGCTGGAGTCCAAATCCACGATTTTGCTTTTTGTCTTTCATGCCACGACGACTCTTGGGTGGAAGCTTAAGGCGCCAGAAAGAAAGCTTTTGTTGCTTGACAATGCCAGGAAACGTACACGTACGCCACAAATGCCCATCGCGGCGAACAAACGCTTTGATTTCCTGGAAGACTACCATTAGCAATGTTTCCGACAGGACCTCAATGAGCGACATACAATGCAGAGGCTGAGGAGTCATTCGTTTCTGGTATTTAACAACGGGTAAGCCGTTAGCCGAGGCCTTCCGAAGCAAGGTGGTATCCGCGAGGCCTATGATTCACGGCTGACGCTTATCTTGAGCGACCACTCTGTGGTAAGAGAAGTAGGGATAGCGACTTGGAGCGTTGGGCTCTGCAGTTGGTAGAAACCGTCCGATGCTGGAAAGAGCATTTCTTGACACCGTCATCGAGTATGCGCGAATGGAGGATGGGCAGATGACGTATACGTTGAATCAGGAACGTTTCACTCCCAACAATAACACCAGATCTCTTCCAGATGTGGCTGAAGCAAAGGCCGACGACACGCTTCAGGTGGACGACCAAGCATGCTGTTTTCGTGCCTCCTTGTGTGCGAGGCAAAATTCCTGGCAAAACGTCAAACCTCGGAGGAGGTCCCAGTGATGAATATAAAGAGCAAGGTGCTCGGCTCCAATAGCCCCCTTTCCTTCTTACACTCTTGTTGAAATCTCCCGTTTTTTCAGAGACGGGCACAAAGCATTAGAGGTTTGTCGTTTCAAGAGTTTCAGATCAGGGTCCGGACGGTCTCCAAGTCTAGACAAATAGCTCCAACCAAACTCTGCACCATCCAGGTTCTATTTCCAACCACACTCCCCGTTCCATCTTTCCAACTTTCCTCTTCTAGAACAACTCGAAAAACATGGCCTTACCGTTCGGAGCCCACGTACCGTTTACGACGCAAAACCCATCACCGTTATCTTTTGGGTTTGGACTGGGAGTCCCTCAACACCACCTGCCACCATCACCCAGCGCTGCGCCATCATTCGCAACTCAGTTCACACCTCAAACGCCTACCACCGCTACCAGTACTACCACGCCTCAACGACCTCCGATCCCGCCGAGAACCTCAACTAAGCGACGAGCAGAGTTTGACGAGCAGGAAGATGACGCGGCCATGGGTGAAGGAGCTAGGAGCCCCTCGCCATCAGACCGACCCATACGGCGGCTGGCAGGGGGGAAGAAGCTACGGATGACTCCGGGTACATTGAAGGTCGAAGGGAAGATCGAGGAGGAAGATGTGGATGTCGGTTCTCTATTGGGTGAGTTTGGTGTGAACCGTTCCGGTACTCCCGGTGTTCTTTCCTTTCCTCTTTGGCCCGGACTGCTCGCTGACCATGTCCCCCTTTCCTTTCTGCATCGATCGCTCCCACTCTGATAACCCCTTTGCGTTGTGGACGATCGTCAACCCGCAAATAGCTTCTCTTCCACCATCTTCGCACTTGCCGCTATTAACGTCTCTGATCAATGAACGGCCCGAATTGAAACTGGTGGTCTTATCACTCATTCCTCGGCCGACACTCGACACTGCTGTACAAGCCATCAACGCTGGTGCAAAGAAATTGAAAGATGCATACCCGTACTCCGTTCCACCTCCAACTTTGCCGGGAAGCCTAGGCTTTGGCTTTGGAAGCACACCCACTTCCCAGCCGGCGGCTCCGACGAACCCTATGCGGGATAGCTACGTCCGTACAAGATTGCGGCAACCCGTGAAGGACTTCAGCAAGCTACTGCTGTCGTACATGTCTTACTTCTCGTCAACGCCGGCTGAGAAACCGTCCACTGCAACTCCGAGTGCATCGAACCCGGCCCCGAGTGCACAGTCGTCCCAACAACGCCAGCCCACAGTCCCTCTCCATCCAACCGAGACCTTTACTTTCCTGCAAACCGTCACCTCACATGTCCTCAAGCAGCCACCGCTCACGATTGCCGAACTGACTCGTCCCACTGAGAACGTCGTCTTCCCGCGGCTCGCTGCCGAGTGGTCCGCATGGGTGAACCAAATCAACCAAGACGTGAACCACCTCGGCAAGATGTACAGAGGCGAAGTCGTCGCGGCCTGGGACCGCAGCCTGGACGAACTGGTCGAAGTGGAAGAACAGATGTTGCGGTCGTTGCAGCAGCATCAGCAGTCGAGCAACAACGG